GCATAAGAGCGAGGTGCCTATACAATTACATTGTGAAAGAACCATGAATGCACCATCTTACATGCGTAGCCAGCGTCTTGTCTACGCAATTCTGCCGTCCCTTAGTAGCCTTCAAGCTGTTTAATGGCACCCCAGTTGGAGCTCACTGTACAACTAAACACACAACAAAAAGAATTGCACAAATTTGGATTTGAATACAAAACAAATTTCGTTTTTCAAAACATTGCTAGCCGCTAATGCTAAACTCAATGTAATATCCCTTTGAAATGGTAACGGGAAATTAGCAACAACTTCAGGAGTGATGTTCCATCAAACAATGAATCTTCACACACAAACGCTGTTGGTTTTTTTTTCCTCCTCTATTCTACTTTTTTCTTTTCACATCTAAGATATCGGTGCGCTGGACAGCGAAGCACCAGGCTTCCCGTGTTGTCTCCCTCCATTGGTCATTGTTTAGTTTACGTTCTTCTGGACGGGTTGTAACTGGGAAAGTAAATTCCTTGTGTGTTTACATACTTGGCCAATAAATTGGATTTTGATTCTGATTCAAGCCAAGATAAGCCAATGATTTCAGAGTAGGGCTTGGTGCCTGGGTTAGGGTTTAAAAAAAAAAAAAAAAAAAAGATTCAAGACAGGGTTAGGGTTTCAAGCCTGGGTTGGGGTTTCAAATTCATTTTCACTTTCATCAGCCACAAAGCATTGTACCATCAGTTTTGTTTCGTCAAGTTGCTTTGCTTTATGAAGTGAGAAGTTTTCCATCTTAGATGTCGGAAAAAAAAAAGTATCTGAACTTTTAAAGAGCCTCCCGCACATTTGGCTGCACTTTTACAAGTCAGCAGTGACAGCGAGCTGGCCATATGGAGCCCTGCTAACTACTGCAATAAAAAAATACACGGTAAGCCGCTCAGACACGTTGCGGATTTAATTTAAATAATCAGACAGGAATGGCAAAATACTAAAGTTGATCTTCCAGTGACTATGTTAGGCAAGGAAAGAATAGGGGTTCAAGCCGGGGGTTTTAAATGACGGTTTCAACTTTCAAGCCTTGGTTAGTTTCCCCATTATGATATCAAGCCAAAGTTAGAGTTTCAAATTAGCGTGTCAAAACAGGATTAGGCTTTCAACATAGAGGTTAAAGACTGCATTGGGGTTGCAGTTTGGGATTTCAAGCTAGGGTTAGAGTTTCTAGTCAGGGCTCGGGCTTCAAAGTAGGGTTTCAACCCAGGGTTTTGGTTTGAAAGTAGGCTTTAAAGACAGCCATAGTGTTTTCAAGAAGGTTTTCAAGACAATGGAAAGATTTCAATGTCGGCTTTCAAGCCTGGGTCAGAAATTGAGATTCAAGTTGCGTGTAAAAGTAGGGTTTGAGGCCAAGTTAGGGTTTCAAATTCGTGTTTGAAGCCTGTGCTAGGGTTACAAGTTGCTGTTTCAGGTTTTGGGACAGGGCTTCAAAATGGGTTTTCAACTCAGCCCAAGCCAGGGTTCATAAGTAGGGCTTCAAGATCGGGTTGGTGTTTTTCATGAATGTTCGGGTTTCAAGTGAGGTCTTCAAGGCAGTATTAGGCTGTCAAAGTGGTGTTTCTTGACGGTGCTACGGTTCGAAATAAGCGATAGGGTGTCAAAATGGGGTTTGAGGCCAGGGTTAGGGTTTCACATTTGTTGTTTGAAATGAGGATTTAAAGGCTGCATTTAGGTTTCAAGCTGTGGTTGGAGTTTCAATTTCAAAAGTAGGGCTCCACTCCAGGGCTGGGATTCAAAGTCAGGACTTCAAGATGGGCTTAGTGTTTCCTGTTAGTGTCAGGGTTTTGAGTTAGATTTTCAATAGAGTGCTAAGATGTGAAAGCACGGATCACAAGCTAGGGTTAGGGTTTGAAATTAGGGTTTCAAGTCAGTGTTATTAGTGTTTCGGATTAGCGTTGAAAGCTACGGTTAGAATTTGGTCTTCAAGGCAAGGTGAGGATTTCACATCATGGTTAGGGTTGCTTAGTCGGGTCTCAAGCCAGTGTTTGGGTTTTTTCTTGTGAGTGAATGTTTGAAATGTCATCTCAACACATGAGCTGTAAATGACATGTTCCTTTGCACGTATTGTTGTGTTTTCGTTGTATTTGTGTCTAATCCAGTGTTGTATTCTTCTTTTATGGGCACGCTTGTCTCGGCGTAGCAGCAGCCCCCTCGGGGAGGAAAAATGGAGATGATTCTCGCTTGCTGTTTAATTTTAGAACTGGCCGTTACACAGCCAATTAAGCAGGGATGCTCGCCGCCATCTTTGCAACCTGTCAGCAGCTCTGCTCCATTCGTGGTGTGCGAAAAGCGTCATGATGAATATTACGATTTTTTTTTAAATGATGTATATTTAAAGCCAAGAAGAAGAAGAATGTTAAGTGTGTGAGCCAAGCACTTTCCATCTTGTTTATTTTCATTTCACACGGAGTGGAGTGGGTCAAGTGCTCATTACCAAAAAGGCCTTCTAATCTCTTTTGGCTGCGTAATAGTGTTTAGCAGCCCGCGTGGAAAATCACCATGCGAAAATGCAACATGTTTATATGGGCGTCGACTTGAACGTGTGAGGAGTTGCGTAACGTTCGGCTTCCCAGCATCGTTTTAAGTGCTGTCATGTCTCTGGACGAATAAGATCAAGCGTTTCAAGACTGGTTTAGGGTTTGGAAGTAGACCTTCAAACTGGGGTTAAGCTTTCAAATTTTTTAAATCTGAGTTTGGGTCAGGTTTAGGGGTTGAAAGAAGGCTCTTAAGACATAGTTGGGGTTTCTAAGTAGGGTTTCAAGCCAAGGTATGGGTATTAAGCCTTGGTTCAAGTTTTGAATAGACGTTTCAGGCCAGAGTTAGGGGTTCAGGAAAAGTTTGGCTTTGAAATTAAATTGTCAAGACTGTTTAGTTTCAAATAAGATTTGTAAGACAGAGTGGATTTTCAAATTGCGGTTCTAAGTCAGGTGTAGTGTTTTAAAATCAAGCCTAAGCCAAAAAAGAAACAAAATGAACAAAAATGGTCAAATGGTTTAATGCGACTGACTCTTGGCTTTTCCTTCCTTTCAGACCATGTGTGCTTTTTTTCCTAATATGTTTTACTGCCTTCTCGCCTTTGTGTTTATCTTTTATTTCTTCTTTGACTGTCATCCTAATAAGTGTGTTCTGATTTTTTTTGGGGGGGGGGGGGCGGGATTCATCCAAAAGTGCTGCTTTGGTTTTTAAACTTTTGTATGCCTGTCAAGAGTTTGTGTGTGCAATCATCACGCGTGTTCTTCTCTGCATGCATTCATTTGACACCACCGCCATCGCTCTGAATTATTAATGCAATGACTAATTATAGGCCCATGCCACCGTAGCAACCGAGCCTGAGGAGAAAAAATAAAAACACCCCATCGGCGCAGCGCAGTGTTGGCCACTGTTATTGTGCCCTAAATGACACCTCAGCTGCTACTATGTTTTTCTCCGTTTTCGCCTGTCATTAACCATTTCATTATGCGTCCGTCTGTATTCTATACAGAAGTGTAAACACTTCATGAAATAATTATCTTGTAAACAGAATAAATGGACGAAATGAAAAATGCATATCTGATACGCCCCAGTTTACATCTTTTCAAGCGTAATATCTGATTTATGTGCCTAAAAGCAACAATCAGCTAGTATCACCTGCAGAGAGGTTTAATCTTTCATATTTTGACTCGACAAATAACAACCACGTTAAATATTTAGCACTCTTTTAGTCTCAGAGAGGGTGCGTGCTTGGTGTTGCCTAAACTGGTCAAATTTGAGTCTGTTTTTTTTTTTTTGCAACTAAACATTATCGTCCATGAAAACGAGTCTCTTGTCGTGTGCTTTTTCCAATAAGTCATTCCTCCAGTTGACCATTATGCATAAACGCTCGCCTCATAACTCTGAAGTTTCTCCTCTGCAGGCTGCAAATGTAACTTGCCAGCTTTTTTTTCTTTTTATTAATTTTTTTAAACTCTTCCTTCCAAAACCTGACATCATCAGCATCTCTTTATGGTCATTACACTATTATTGAATGAAGACAGTGCAGTGTTTAAATGTTTACAACCCCTGATGCCATGCATTGCAATTCCATTCCCTGTCATACATTAGACATTTTCTTTTGGTACACCCTTGTTTCCAAATTGATTATTGTTGTATCCCTTTAAAATTGTAAACCAAAAACGCCAGATCATTACCAAGTTGGGGGGAGGGGGGGGGGGGAACAAAGAAAAAGAAGCTTGTTGGAAATTGCAGCCATTTTATGAATAAATAAATAAATAAATAAATAAACTAATTCGATTTACCGTAATGTAGCCCTTTATTTTTATGATGACTGCAAAATATGTATTCCGATTGAACGCACATATGATGTCAAAATAGTAGTAAGAAGACGTTGATGTGCACAGCCACGTTTTACTCTTTGTTTTGCATTCCTTAAAAAAATCTACAGGCATATCACACTGAATTCAGACCAGACTTTTTTCTCACGTTTTTTTTTTTATTTTAATGCTCTGATTCGAAAATGTACAAAAGTAATATATTTCTTCAACACAAAATATTGCCCCATTGTTCATTTGTGAAACGAATAGTGATGGAAATTGTACCCAATCTAATTAAAAATAGACAAACTATTTTGCCGCACCCCAATATGGTGCGGTCTTGTGCTTTTCCCATATATCTTGATGTTATAGCCTCATTCCATCATGAGTGAAAGCAGTTTATGACCATTTTAGCCAAACACTAAATTTAAAGTCAAAACACTGAGCTTATGGTGGCAATATTATGTGTAAAGTCAATATTGTAAAAAAAGTGCACGTTACATAGCGATTGGATTGATTGTGGTCAATTAAAATGTGTTCGCCCAGTGATACCTCTCAGTGGTTTCTCAATTTCTCTTTAATGTTGTAGGAATTACTTGCAGTCACAACACGGGCTGAAATTGTGCATTGTAAAGTAAAGATCCAACCTTGAGTCACTCAATGTTTTTGTGTTGTGTTGGTCTTATTTTTCAGAGCCGTGACGGAATGGTGGACTGCTTGAGCAAAGTCATGCTGCACACCGTCATCTCATGCTGGCAGCCAGTCCTGGGACTGGCTCTGCTGTCCATCTTTGTGGGCTCCTCCCTGGGCTGCCCCTCCCGCTGCGAGTGCTCGGCACAGACCAAGGCCGTGGTGTGCCACCGCAAGCGCATGCCCACCATCCCCGACGGCATCCCGGGAGAGACCAGGATCCTGGACCTGAGTAAAAACAAGTTGACCATGATCAACCCGGATGATTTTGCCGCCTTCCCAGGCCTGGAGGAACTGGACCTGAGCGGGAATATAATCAGCTACGTGGAACCGGGTGCCTTCAATGCTCTATTTGGCATGCACTCGCTCAGCCTGAAGAGCAACCGGATTAAGCTTATTCCTCTTGGCGTCTTCTCGGGCCTGGTCAACCTCACCCGGCTGGACGTGAGCGACAATAAGATCGTCATTCTCCTGGACTACATGTTCCAGGACTTGCACAATCTCAAGTTTTTGGAGGTGGGCGACAACGACCTGGTTTACATCTCGCACCGCGCATTCAGCGGACTTCTGAGCCTAGAGACGCTGGCACTGGAGAGGTGCAACCTCACCGTGGTGCCCTCTGAGGCCCTCTCACACCTCCACAACCTGGTCAGCCTGCACCTGCGATACCTCAGCATCAGCACTTTGCATCCATACTCCTTCAAAAAGCTGTTCCGGCTGCGCCATTTGGAGATCGATAATTGGCCCTCACTGGACCACATCCCGGCAAACACCCTGCATGGCCTGAACCTCACCACCCTATCCATCACCAACACTAACCTGTCATCCTTCCCCTACCAGGCCTTGAAGCACCTGCCCTACCTGACGCACCTCAACCTGTCCTACAACCGCATCCGGCACATTGAAGGTGGAATGTTGATGGACCTGGTTCGCCTTCAAGTATTTCACCTGGTCGGCGCTCAGCTCACCGCCATCGAACCCTACGCCTTCCAGGGCCTTCGGGGGCTGAAGGTGCTCAACGTTTCTCACAACCGGCTGGACACGCTGGAGAAGGGAGTGTTCCATTCCCCAGAAGCTTTGGAGGTCCTCCTCATTGACAACAACCCGCTAGTGTGCGACTGCCGCCTCATGTGGATCTTACAGAAAAGGCACTCCATCTTGTTTGGAGATTCCCAGCCGGAGTGCAACACGCCCGAGGGGATCCGAGGCAGGCCTTTCCAGGAGTTTAAGGAAAGCCTGCTCTCCTACTACGTGACCTGCACCAAACCGAAAATCCGTGAGAACAAAACGCAAACCGTGACAGTGGACGAGGGCCAGCACGCTCTGCTGCACTGCAGCGCCGAGGGGACGCCGAGGCCCACCGTGTCCTGGGTTTCCCCGCGGCGGCGCATCCTGACGGCCAGGAGCCACGGCAGAGTAACGGTGTACAACAACGGCACCCTGGAGATCAAGTCGGCCGAGATTCAAGATGGCGGCGTCTACCTCTGCCTCGCCTCCAACACGGCCGGAAATGACACCCTGATGACATCGCTGGCCGTCAAGAGTCTGGGCTCCCTGTACGCCAACAGGACCCAGTATTACACGGACCCCAGCAACACCACGACCAACGGGACCGCCAACGTCACCCTGGGCTTGGACCTAAAGACCATTTTGGTGTCGACGGCCATGGGTTGCTTCACGTTCCTCGGGATGGTCTTGTTTTGTTTCCTGCTCCTGTTCGTCTGGAGCAGGGGCAAAGGAAAACATAAAAACAACATCGACGTGGAATATGTGCCTCGATCCAAGTCCAACGGCACCAATGTGGACTCGGCCGACGTCCAGGCCGGTCCTCATCGTTTCAACATGAAAATGATGTGACTTGTTTTGTAGAAAAAAATTCTGGATCATCTGTGGAAAATAACCCAAAGTACATTCTATTTTTTTTTCCACACAGAACCACAGCTGACGGACAAGTGGTCACAAAAGACTTTGGGATAAGAGAAAACGAGCTGGACCTTGAATACAATACTGGTAGGATGTCGGAATTGCTTCAGGTCAGACGGAAAGTGAAGAGTTTCCAGGGAAATAAGTGTCATTGATCAGCTTTTTGAGATTTCTATGCCCTCTCCCGAAAAAAAACAGAATGCCATTCGATGTGTCTGGGTTGGATCTTCTGGACTTGGCCGAATCGTGTACAGTCTCAATTTGTATCTTATGCTAAAAATAACCTTTGTTGAGTCTTGCGCCACATGCTTTGTCACCCATCCAATCAAACAATGACGGCAACCATCGCTTCCTCTGTTCAATACTTTTGCCCATGTGTACCTAATGCTTTGTTGTTATGTACACCTACTGTATGTACATACTCATTAAAAAATACTCATAGCAATATTCATGGGATGCATTAGCCAAAATTGATATAAACCTATACTGTATGTTCAGCAAAAAAAAAAAAAACAATGTTAATAACAAAAACAACATGGAAAAAAAAACCATTTGAGACTTTTGAAGTTTCCATAGATTCAGGAAGGGCTTCTATGGGTGATGATGTGTCCCTGCTCCCTCACGATTGACTCAGAAATAAGACATATGAATAAATAGATATTTATCAAAGGAAATATTTTATTTATTAATGATGTTGGTCAAAGATCTATCCTGGACTGCTGTCGGTTGTCCAGTATAATTTCTGGACTTTCCCTTGGTGAACCTGAACCACCGTTTTGTCCGACTTGAGTGTCTTTCCATTACTTTGAAGTGTACCTTTTTGGCTCATGTGTCAACTTTTTGGCTCGTGTGTCAACTTTTTGCTACAGTGATATTTGCATCGTTTCTTTATTCTTTCCCCTGTAGAAAAAAAAATGGACTTTGTTGTGGTAGTTCTTCATTTTCTTGTTGAATCATTTAGATTGTGACAATTTAAAAAAAAACATTAAAAAAATATATATATGTATGTGGAATAAATGCAGTTGTATTTGTACCTGTGGCTGAAGTCAGCTTTATTAATGAGACGAAGTGGCTATCCTATAATTGTGAAATCGCAAATAGCTTGAATCAAAATTAAAATAACTATTCCAGTGGTGCCTTGAGAATATGACCGAAGTGATGAGCATGCAAATAATCCATTTCAACCCCCCCCAAAACACACACAAATGTGTTTTTTATTGTCAAGTCTCATTTATTTATACAGCCCTTAATCAGAAGCCATCTCAAAGGGCTTCACATGCCCACAGTTGACAAGTGATCAGTGAATCCTTCACAGAAAAATAACAATTAGTATCTGCATCTTTTTTTCATTTTATTATGAGATCGAATAATATTTTGCAGGTAAAGTCCACAAGCTAGATATTTATGTGAGTAAAAAAGTGGAGTCCAATTCATTTGAAACAGTGATGTCTTTTCATCTCTCCTTTAGCCGATGACATAATCCAACAAAGGTGAAGGAAAGGTGGCATAACGGTTAAGAGATTAGACATTCCGAAGAGGTCCATTGATCCTCAACTGCAAGGAAACCAACGTGAATTAATAATAGGTGGATCATTTGCTGCCGCCTTCTAGCATTGGGTGTCTGAAGCGCATTTGTGTTTTAAATTTTTGCTTGTATCTAAAAAAATTGGCTATGTGGTGGCCAAAAAAACATGTAAGTCAAGTCATACGTTAAGGATCTACTGTATTTGATTATTGAAATTTTCAATTGATTTTTTTTAACCTTAAAAGTTGTTTTGCATGAAAATAAAATAAAATACCATTAGATTGTTTGGATTTAAATTGATTAGAAAAAACATTCAAGTAAATTGATTTTTTATAAGTGGCATTAAATTGATTTGTACTAATTGTAATGTGTTTGGGTCCTTAAAAAAATGAAGTTTTTAAATGTTGGAAAAAAAAGGTACTTTTTAAATCAATTTAAAGTTTTTCTTGAGAATTCTAATTGACTACGGATATTTAGAAATGTAAGCAGGTGTTGAATAGATTTGGATCCAAATAATAAATTTCATGGGTAAAGTGGTACTCGTGCATTGTGTACCTGTGAAAAAGTTCACACACAAAAGTTAACACCCTGTTTTATGGACGCTGGCATTTTTGTTACTCTGAGTTTCCCAGTGTGGGACAAATAAAGGTTATCTTATCTTATCTTAAGATTGCCTCTGTGGCTGATATAGTTCACGTCAACAACCAAAAATTATTTTTTTCTTTCAGACTTTTTACTTAAGAACCAGAGTTGAGCACTGAATACGTCTGTACTTCTATTGAACTAAGGAGTGTGTGCTGCCAGAGGAATGAAAGTCAAAGTGAACGTTGGAACCATTTTGTGGTCCTGCAGTGTTTCGCCACCCGGATTGACTTGGCCTCGAGGGTTTCGCTACCTTTCTCCGCTCTTTTTACTGGTAAATGAAAAACAGGAAAGATAAAGTCGTACCAGCGATGTGCTTTGTTAAATATCGATGGACCCACGTTTGCCGTGGCGAGGACAAGCCAGAAAACTGGACTCGAGTCGTCAAACGCCATCCATCTTCATTCGACGACGCGACGGCGCTTCACTTCACGCCTCGTCCAACTCTCGTTTTTCTTGTATTTCCAAGGTCTCCGTTGACGCCGGGGGCCTTTGGGCATAAAAGTGGTGACGTTTGTTACACGCTGTGACGCGTCTGAAGCACTGTCGTGTTATTACTCACCTGAAGGTCGGCTTGTTTGAGTGTCGTGGGTGAGTTTGAAGAGCAGAAAAGACATTGCCAAAACATGACCTGGAGCAGTTTGATTCTATTGTTCATGCTGCACATATTTCAATTGAAGGAGTAGTGGGGACACAGTGAATACAAAAAAATAATCGAGTCTGATATTTTCAAAGAAAAAAGGAATAACATTGCAAGAACAAAGTTTCTGAGAAGAAAGTAACAATTTGACAAAAAAAAAAAAAAGAATCAAATAGGTTTACGGGAATCCAGTCGTCATGATATTCCGTAAAATTTTTTTGAAATATATTTTTCAACCTTTGGTCTTGTAAGTTTACGGTTTTTATCTTGAAACAATCCAATGTTTTTCTTGAGAGGACGCGACTTTTAATGAAAAAAAAAAATCTCACTTCGCTTAAAAATATGACTTGTTTTCTTGAAATACAGTTTTTTAACCTCAAATCACTACACATTCATTCCAGAATGAATCCAACCTCCTCATAAAATTAAGACTTAATCTCAAACAATAGAATGTTATTCTGTTTATGTTGTCAATTTTTCTTGACAAAATATGACTTTTTACCTTGGAAAGTTGTACTTTGTATCTTGAAATGTAGAGTAGTCTTGTTGTCGAACAAGAATAAACTAGGTCATGATATTACAATAGGTTTTGCCTTTAATCTATTAACATTGTGGCTTTTTAAAGTAGCGTTCTAGAAATAATGCTTTTTCTCTTGAATAAAAATGTCCCTAGATTTTACTTTTGGAAAAAAAAATCTGATTTTTAATCTCATATGACTACTATTTTATCCATCCAACTATCCATAAATCCGAACCATTGATCCTCATGAGTGTCGCGAGTGTACTCTTGGAAAAAAAAAAAATTCGCATAAGATTAGGACTTAATCAAACAATAATTTGGCATTATTCTCATAGTTTTATACATTTTTTCTTAAAAAATAAAACTTTCCATAGGTAATAATAGCTGTCAGTTTTGTGCACCGCCACATTATTCAACACATTAAATTGATCCTTCTCGGATTGTGTCAAGACGGCACGGTAGGGGACTGGTTAGAATGTAGGCCTCACAGAACAAAAATTCAGAGTTCGAATCTGGGCCCTATCCTTCCTGTGTGGAGTTCGAATGTTCTCCCTGTGCCCGCGTGGGTTTTCTCTGGGTATGCCGGTTTCCTCCCACATTCCAAAAATCATGCATGGGACATTAATTTAACACTCTAAATTGCCCCTCAGTGGACACAGCTGGTAGTATGTCTATGTGTGCCCTGCGATTGGCTGGCAACCGGTCCAGGGTGTCCCCCGCCTACTGCCCGAAGACGGCTGGGATAGGCTCCAGCACGCGTGCGACCCTCATGAGAATAAGCGGATTAGCAAATGGCTGGATGGATGTTTGTGTTCATTGAAAATCGAAGCAGGGGTCCGGTGTCACACCACGACGTATTTAGTTATACTGTACAAGATATCATCACATCCCAAAACTCTGGCAAAAGCCATTGAATATGGTGTAACATATGTGTACAAATCTAAACTAGATTTTGTGTTCGTTTGAGTGTCGTGCTGCAGAGGTGAAGTGTATATGTTCATTCCAAAAAAAAAATATCCAGCATGCCAAAAATAATGAGTTCCTCTGGGAAAAGAAACACTGCCCCACATATTCCGCGTCGCCCACACACTGGATCATTCTGAACCTGGAGACCCGTGAGAATATCATAGTGATAGAATACTCATTTAAAAACACAAAACGACAGCACTACATGTTTGCCTCAATTTAGTAACAAAGGCTTTTCAGCATTTCTGTGAATGTCTTCAAAGAAGCGGCAGTCATCGTGGGCAAAAAATGTTGATTACCTTGGTCTACATTTATCATTCCACTGTGCTGTGGCTTGAATTTCTATTCAACCCCGAGCTTCGTGGCAAAGTACACCAGGAGCACTGACTGAAACTGCCCCCCCTCCCTTAAAAAAAAAAAAAAATATATATATATATATATATACCGTATATGTATATACCGTATATGTATATCCCTGAGGGAGTCCATCTGGAGCTGATTCAACATAACCAAGAGAAGCAGATAATGATGTTCTAATAAGATTGGAAGGAATCCAATTTAGAAATGTGCCTCCGAGGACGAACCACAAACGAAGGTTTTACGATTAACCTGATCGACGGCCGCATATATACCGTATATGTATATACCATATATATATATATATATATATATATATGTATGTATATTTTAGTTTAGTTTTTTTTAAATCAGCCCCTGTAGTGAATCTGACAGAACAACATGGAATTTGGTAGGCAAGTCTAGCATGAGCAAACCCACAAAAACCTGTAAATAGTGAAAAGATGCAGGAAGTCGGCCATTGGTGTTTAAAGCAGTCATTGTTTCAAACAATGAGAAGGCCCCTGTAAAGGGTCAAACAATTTGTTTGACCCTTTACAGGGGCCTTTCTCAGAGAAGGGCTGGTCATAGTATTGGTAAATTCTGATTCATTTGCCCATTTGCAGCTGATTTTTTTCATGCAGTGAAAATCAGTTTTTTTGTTGTTGTTTTTTTCAAATCTGATCTGGGCCTCATTTTTATGTGGCTATAAATCGCATGTTTCCAATGCACCTGCAGTATGAACTCTCATACACGCCAATCCAACCAATTTGTCATCAAAAGCCTAATATGCCCTCTGCGTGGGTGGGCGAAGAGTCCTGGGGGGGAGGACCAACAATCGGCCATGAATTGGCAAAGTTGTCAAGAGTAACAGTATTTACTGTGCATGTGTGTCACATCGTGGACATGTTTTGTTCGTATTAGAAGTCGTGTTTGTTTTGTGTGAATGGGAATGAGTACATCAAGGTTTTAACAAAAACAAAATGTACTCATCTTCAATCAGTGACTTTGTCCGATTCGTCCCAAATTTAAATTCCATACACGAAACAGATGGGCAAAGAGAAATTCAGAAGAGTTTGAGTTTTGGCAGCTAAATTGTATGACTTACATTTTGATTCTAAGATGCCATTTTGAGGTCCTTCGAAGACTAACTCATCCAAGAGATTTTTTTTCTGATTGCTACAAAATGGTTTCATGTCAGCTCCCCCCCCACCCCCCACCCAGTACTTTAACAGCTTGGAATATTTCAACCTGTTTCCCATAATACTCTGCCTGTTTTTCCAACTGGCAGCTCTTTGTCTTTCCAAAGTGTCTTGTTTATCATTTGTTTTACTGTCCCAGCTTGTCATCTCTGGATGGCGGCATTCCACTATGTGCCAAAGCCTCGCAGTGTAACGCCGGCAT